TCAACTTGAAGAAACACCAAGAAGCCGCTCTTCGCTTGATCAACCGGATGAAGCCAAGTTTGATTTTGTTGTGCCCTCCGTGTACTACCTTTTCAAGTCTTCGATACCTCAGCAACTTCAAGCGCCAACCAAAAGTGGTCGCCGCTGAGGAAGAGGAAGGGCTTCGACACTTGCGCTTCAGCATCCTCATTGCAAAGCTTCAGCATCGCAATGGGAGAGGCTTTCTGTTCGAGCACCCCAAAAGGGCTACCTCGTGGAAACGCCCAGAACTTCAGCAACTTCGTGATGAACCTGGAGTTTATGCGGTTGATGTTGATCTATGCAGGTTCGGTCTCACCACAACTCAGGGACAGCCTGCTCTAAAGCCCACTCTGCTTCTGACAAACATCGAGGAGCTGGCCATCACTCTTGGTCGCCGGTGCGACGGCCACCACAAGAAGCACCAGCCTCTACTTGCAGGAGAAGCTGGACACGCAGCCAAGTACACTCCCCTTTTTGTTGAGAACATTCTCCGAGGTCTTCGTTTACACTTGGAAGCTTGGACCAAGTCTCATAGAGCTGAGCAAGACTATTGGGAGACCAAGCCAGGCGAAATCATTCGACACCATCGCCAACCTCGTCGAGCCCTATATGTTCCAGCTGGAGTGTCTGGCTGCCCCTTCAAGTCCTATGACTTGGCCTCTACCCGGACGACTTCTTTGCGCTACCTCGACGGCAAGAAGGCCACCTTCGTGGACGATTGGCGCTCTACTTCAACTCCTCGCAGAACCTTTTCAGGCCTCTGGACTGGTTCTACTCGCTTTGAGCTGAAGTGCCCAATGGTTTTGCCCAACGATTGGCAGCAAGCTGCCAACTTCATCGTGGCTTCTGCCGCACACCCTTTGCACAACTACTTGACCGAGGACTCTGCCATGCAGGTGGACTGGCAATTTGCATTTCCAGCCCACAGAACTTTGAGAGGCGCGGACCCCTCTTCGTCGCTTTCGGCGCCTTCGAGCTCGCAGATTCCTCTGGCTGAAAGGCCTTTTGTTGATGCAATGGACGACGAGGACGAGGACACGGCGCTGGGAAAGACTCAGGAAGCTCTCAAGTCCATGGAGCTGGATAAGGTTGTGGACGAAGGCATGGCTACGCTCCACCCAGCTCTACGACGAGAAGTCCTGAAGGTCCACCGCAACTTGGGCCACCCTTCCTTGCAGGCCTTCACTCGTGCTCTTCGCCACGCAGGTGCAAAACAAGAAGTTGTGGAGTGGGTCAAACACCACTTCAAATGTCCCCTTTGCGAACGAAAGCAACAGCCCTCATCGCATCGCCCTGGACACTTGCAGAAAGCGATGGCTTTCAATGAAGTTGTCGGCATCGATTTGCTGAAAGTCAACGTCCCGACCATCGAGAAAGAATACCTGATGATGAACTGCTTATGCTGGGGAACAGATTTCCAAATAGTGGAACCTCTGGCCAACAAGCAAGCAAGCACGGTGTTCTTAGAGTTCTCAAGAAGTTGGATCGCCCATTACGGTCCTCCGTCACTTCTTGTGGCGGATCAGGGACGCGAATTCATTGGTCAACAGTTCGCAGAATCCCTCGCACATCTTGGTGTACCCATATACTACACCAACGCTCGCAGTCCATGGGAAAACGGCCGCACAGAACGAGCCGGAGGGATATTTAAATCCCGACTGGAGACCACACTCCATGAGATCAGCGCCACCACGGATGAAGAAGTTCGAGCTGCAATCTACGAAGTGGTGGCTGCACACAACAGGTACTACAACCGCTCTGGCTTCACACCCTACCAGAGAGCTTTCGGCGTACTTCCACGCCTACCTGGTAGCCTGTTGTCTGATGATGTCATGGACAAGCAACTCGTGTTGGAAGGAGGAGGCGATGCAATGCAACGCTCATGGCAGATTCGCGAAGAAGCAGCCAAGTCCTGGTTACGATGGCAAGACGATGAAGCAGTTCGACGAGCAGTTTCGACTAGAACCAGAACCTCGGATAACAAGCACTTCGAACTTGGCGAGCTGGTCTACATCTGGCGCAACGTCCCCAACTTCAAGGGTTGGAGTGGACCTGGAACTTTGATTGCCCAGAAAGATGACACCATGTGGGTGAGCATGCGAGGCTACTTGATGAAGGCCTCAAAAGCCCAGACCAGAAAAGCCACTTCGGAGGAGAGCCGAGGAGCTGAACTCGTTCGACACCTCTCTGCGGCTATGCTTGAAGATTTGGAAAAGGACAAGGTGAAACTATACCGGGACATAGCTGGAGAAGGAGCACCAGATGAAGATGAAGACTCCTTCAGCTATGCACCTACGACACCTCGAGAACTACCAGATGACCAGTTGGACACCATCATGGAAGAGGCGGACGCAGACCCATCAGAGAGTCAAGGTGTTCTGAACCCTGAACAACAGCAAGATGAACCTATGGCTGAAGATCCCGGAGGAGCTCCTGGAGAACTACTTGCTCCACCTTCTGAAGCTTCTACCGAGACGCCTCAACCGTCTGCGCCACCAATCCCCTCCAGAGACACCAGTCGTAGAACTAGCATTCAGGTGGATGAAGGCAGAGGAGGATCTTTGTCTTTTGGTCCTATTCGCGACACTACATCAACTCCCGCTATGCCTTATCCAAGCCCTCCACAAGGTGTTCCCTCATGGCCGAGACCTTCGAGCAACAACCTTGTGAAGAGCCACTACTTGGAAGTCTTTGAGGAGCCGGATGAGATGTCACCATCTTGGGTCCTGGACCGGTCAAATGGCAGGTACACTATGAAGTCATCTTCGTCTTCCAAGTTTGACGCAAAGCAAGCCTCAGCGTTCTTCAACACCATAGACAAGTGCCTATACCTCACCAAGACCAAGACTTCGCCTGGACAAGTTGAGTTCAGAAGCCTCAACGAGAAGCACAAGAAGATCTTCAGAGCAGCCAGAGCGAAAGAAGTGAAGTCCCTGCTCGACTCCGGTGCGATCCGCATCTTGAGTGTGAAGGAGTCCCTGGAGTTCCTAAGGAACAACCCTCAGCATGTGCTCACTTCCCGCTATGTGGACAGGTGGAAACCCACCGACCGCTCTGGAGTGCTTCCTGAGAAGTATGGCGAGGTCAACTTCGAACCAGCAGATCATGAAGGTCTGGCAGCCAAGAGCAGATGGTGTGTGGTTGGGTGGAGAGACCCACACATCCACCAAATCGAACGGGCGGCACCTACACCGCTCACTTCGAGCATCTACCTGATGATGCAGTTGGCTGCAGCTCGCAAATGGAAGGCAGTTTCCAAGGATGCCAAGACTGCTTTTCTCCAAGGCCGACCAACGACAAGGTCACAGAAGCTGGCATGCAGAATGCCTCCGGATGAATGCTTTGAAGGCTACGACCCCAACCAGCTGATCCTCTTGCTCACAGAGGTCTACGGATTGGTTTCCGGTCCTAGCTGGTGGAGAAGGTCATTGCTTGAAATCCTGGTCAAGGAACTTGGCTATCGGGTCAATGTCTATGACCGGTGCATCCTGACGCTGGATGGGCCACAGGAGGAGGATCCCAACAAGCAAGTGCCAACACAGGGCATTCTGGTGCTGGAGGTGGACGACATGCTGGAGGCCGGCAACGAGGTCCATCGACAGAAGATGCAGATCCTCGAGCAGAAGCTAAGGTTCGGAAAGGTCGTGCAGCTGATGGACATGCAGTCCGAGGGCAGCGGATACGCTGGCAGAAGACTCAGACAACTCTCGGACTACAGCTTCGAGATCGACATGACAGACTATGTCCAGAACAGGTTGACCGCCGTCCAAGCCAACCGCAAGACCTTGAAGAAGGACGCGGCCAAGACTCTGTTGGATGAAGAGGAGATCGCACAACTGCGAGGCACAGTTGCTGCCATCAACTGGGCAGCACGAGAAGGCCGACCAGACGGTTCAGCTGCAGCAAGCATCCTGTCCGGTTGCTTCCCTTCACCAACCATGCAGGACCTGTTGGAGTGCAACCGTGTGGTCGAGATGCTGAAGCAGAGAGAAGTCAAGATCAAGATCCACTCCATCGAGGAGGAAGATCTCCGCCACCTGTTGGTGGTGGACAGCAGCTTCGACCCAAGCGGTCGCAACAAACCACAACACGGGTGGATACAAGCTATGTCCACTCCTGCGCTCAACAGAGGCATCAAAGCACCCGTCAGCCTAATAGCATGGCGCAGCAAGAAACTCAGGCGCAAGGCAGGCAGCACCACACTGTGCGAAAGCATCAGCCTGAGCACAGCCTTAGCTGCCATGGAGAAACAGTATGCCACCATGCTGTCCTTCCGGATCTCCAGGTTCGACCCCAAGATGATGATGGATGATGAGGAGATCCAGATGGGCTTGAGAGGACCCTCGACGGTCATCGCGGAGGAGAACCCGCGATACACAGACCCCGACACCGTCTGTGTGATAGACGCGAAAAGTGTCTACGACAGCACGGCCAATCCAGAGCGCCAGTTTCAAGGAGAGGATGATCGAGCGGCGCTAGAATCCGCCATCATCCAAGAGAGCTTGGCAAAGCTGAAGGCCAGACTTCGTTGGTTGCCCCACAACCTGAACCCGAGCGACGGCCTCACGAAGCTCCCAAGCGCTGCGCACATGGCTCCGCTCTACGACCTCCTCAAGAACCACGAGATGGTCATCCAGAAGGAGGAGACCGAGTTGGCGAGCGGACGACAGGGAGACCGTCGGCTGAAGGTGCACGCGGCATGGGTCTCACCACTTTCGACCCACAGAACTTTGAGAGGCTGTGGAAGTCACTTTGCAGTCTAGCAGTGTAAAGGACATGCCTGGTTGACCGCAGGCCTTGAGTATGGCTCACGAGAAAAGGGCGGTTAGGCGCTCTAGGGCCCTCCACTGAAACAGATGCAATTTGCACCAGTTTCAGTGCGTTTTGTTTGTGGCTCGTCATCTTGAGACGCAGCATGGATTGGTTTGCAATCCTATGGCCCACCGAGCGGGCGATCCACCGACCGTCCTCGGCCCAAGGTCTACCGCCTCGGCCGCTTGACCGTGTCCGAGGCATCTTCCAGGCCGCAAACGACGGGTGCGGTGTGGCGCATCGATGGAAACGAGGGCTGGGTAGTTAGTAGGAGAATGTGTCTTTCTGGTACTCACGGGTAATTATGGGCAATTGCCCTCCACTTCCAAGATGTTAATATTGGACTAGTTTATGATATGTTATAAAGTAATTATGTAAATCCATCAATAAGGAACCCCTCCTGCAATACTAACCGCCTATCAAATAACCTTCTAGCCAATTTTTCAACAGTTGGTACCCGATAAGGCCCCTCAGGTGGTAATGTTCTTTCTAAAAGCAATGTTTTTCACGTTCTTCATCCGCTTAATGTTTGCCTATATAATTCCGGCCATGTCAATCAATTGACTCAGTGACATTGTTTCTCCTCATGAAGAGATTTAGTCTTTGGAAGTCCTCCCTCATGATATCTCATGATGGACCTCCAAGAAATATGTTTTCCACATTATGTAACCTTCTGACTTTTGGTGGGGAGGGTGTATTGATCATGGGTTTGATTGGGTTTGCATAAGGCGCTATTCCATTCCTTTGTGCCGGCTGTTGACCGACTTCACACGAGCCTCGAACAGATGTTGCCAAGAAGATCACTCAGCTCATACCTACTGAGTGGGACCATGAATCGGGGGCACAAGTTCATAAAGCCACGGCGTTCGGCCAAAATTTACGCTGTTCAACAAAAGCTCCTCGAAACCCTTTGTTGATATATGATATATAAGTTGAAACATGTTGAAACCAGTGAAGCTTTGGTGCCTAAGAGTTGGATATGCTAGGCCTGTCGCCGTCACGGTGAACATCACCTTGGCAAACACGGGCCAAGGCGTTTGGCCCGAGCCCCAGACTTCAACAGCATGACTAGTAGCTAGAAGCTACTAGTAACAAGGACATCGCTACTAGTAACAGGGGCATTACTACTAGTAGCACGAAAATACGAAAATACTAGTAGCGATGCACTTGTTACTATATATACTACTGACTAGTAACTTAGGACTTGTCGGACATACACGCCAATTCCAAAAGCCTATGTCATCAGGATTGATCCAACATTGGCATTTCCTCTTAAGGCCTATGTCATCAGGCCACAACCATGATATTCATAGAAATATGTATGAGGTATTCAAGGAAGCAACACATAGTCGCACCCTATGTCACCACTGTGTCACCAGGGTACCAGGCAGTGGTATCTAGCATTATTTAGCTGTTTTTTACATTTTTTGTCGAGGAGGTGTCCACAGGTCCTATGACACCAGGTTTCCCAACCCAGACATTTTTTTTGCTCGATATGTCAGGGCACATGACTTAGCCCTGGGGGTAGCCAGATTGGTATGTCACTTGCGTCACGTTGGCCTAAGTCATTAGACAGTAGTATAGTAGGTTCTTGCTACTAGTAGTAATGCCTTGTTACTAAACCCATGGATGGAGTGAAGTCTCCAGAATTTCAACAAAGGCCTGCCAGAACAGCCTTGCAAATCGCTCACGGCTCGGATATGGGGGTCAACACCTTACTGCTTGGCAGGGCTCCTTGCTTGCACTTGATGGCTTTCTTCAGGGCAGCTGTGAGAAAAACCACATGAGACCCGGGGGGCTGATTCCATTGAAGATTGCTCACGGTATGCAAGCAGGAATGGCGCATGCTGGTTTCTTGTAGTTGCTGACTGTTGGCTTGTTTGCACTTGTCAATGCTGAAAGGTGATAGAGCCTGGAATGGAGCAGCAGGTGTCCTTGCACTTGAAAGTGCCACGGACCAAACAGGCCTACCTTTTCGGATGCAGTGTATGCTATGCCCCCAAAATTATCAGGGATCTCGGAAACTTAGTAATTATCTACAAATGGGTCGCTTGAGGCTGCAGCCTCTTAGCTTTTGAGCACAAAATGCGTGTTTTATGAGCAATCCAGGTCGTTCCAATTCATTGTTTGTTGTCTTGTCTCAGGCCGACTCACCGACATGCATTTGGGCACTCAGTCTCCTGGATTTGCTCAGTGAGTGCATCTCATTTGTGCGCCCTTGGTGTGCGCCCCTGTTTCTGGTTTACGCACTATGTCGATTCGATATGATTCGATGCTTGCATATCGCCATTCTTGCAAGCTTTCACATATGTCCTATATACCCTGGGTAGTGCGTTCATGTGACACCGTATGCATGCTCATGCTCGTTTACTAGCCGGGCATGAATCACTCGTCATGCCAGGTGACAAGTCCTTATTAGAACCCCCCGACAGGAAGCCCAGGCAGCGTCCGCAAGGCTTGCTTCAAGGTCGTTTCCAAGCTGGCTTATTTGCATATGTTGGGATTGTTGGGTCTGTCCTATTACCTGCAACAGTCGGTAAACAGTTATCACTATTTTGGAAGAAGGCCTGTTGCTGGCACTGGTAATAGGATAATTACACCCAGTGCATATTATGTTTGTCTCATACGAATGAGGAAGGCTCCTCCGTGCTCTTTGTCGCCCCTTTTCTTTTCCGCCGGGAATCTCCGATCCTAATCCGCAACGAGGGCCGATTCCCAAACCCCATCGACCGAAGAAGCACTGAATCACCGAATTAGCTCCCGCGGCTTTCCAAGTGGGCCCAGCACCAAGGCTTAGATGGACATGTCTTCGGCGTTTTGCTCCTCTTAGAGATTGACTGGATCGAAAGCCATGGCTCCGGACTCCTGGAACAGGCCAATTGAAAGGGGTATGGCTCGTGTTCTTTCTGGAAGGGGCGCGCTGGATGTCAATCCGGGGCTGGGCTTTTTGGCACTCGAAAAGAACAATAAAACATCATTGCACTCCAGAGGCATTTTTGGCACTTTGAAGACATCATGAACTATTGTTGCGTGGCGTTTAGTTTGCCATTGCTAGTTGTTCACAGGCGGTGCTTTTACCAAAGACCGTGCCACCAAAGAAAAGCACGCTCAAACATGTGGCCGAACATTCGGTATCCTTTTGCTGCGGTGCCCGGATTGCTGCTGAAACGGCCAGGCCTCCGATATTCTTCAGTCGGCCAGGGCTCATGTCCATCACGTCCGGCTGCAGCTGCACCACGAGGCACTGGAGGTCTTGGGTGTCAGGCGCTGCCCCGGGCAGCGGAGATCACATGAAGTTGCCACCTTAAGCATTCGGCTTCCCAGCCTTTTCTGGCCTAGACCATCCTAGAGTGATTTTGGTGGGTGGGCTACATTGTAGCTATCCTGCCGCGGGATGTTGCCTTTTCTCCTAGGAGTGCCTTGATGCGCCTTTGTCTAGATCGGCGTGTGTTTGCTCTCCAGGCTTTGAACCAAGATGCCACCCAAGCTGGTGACGTGACAGAGGCCTGAGTGGCGGGTTTGTGCACCTCATCTATGGTCCATAGTCATCCTTTGTTCCGTTTCTTTTTGTCCAGCCGGTTGCGATTGGTGGTCAGGGCATACTTTTGTTCCCATGAGTTGGAGGAGGTTAGAAGAAACAGACCCTCGGGCGCTATGAGAGCGCTAGTTTTGCTTCCATGTGCAAGGAATGGTCTGCCGACCTCCGTGGAACCAGCATGACCGAGGTGCGCCAGACGGCAACAGCATCCAGAAGGGCTCAACGACCAGCATACACAACTTATGGGAATGATCAGTGGTGAAGCAAGTTGAAAACAAGGCCTTTCATGCATTTGCATCTGTAAGTCGGTCCACCCCTAGTCCAAGTGAGAGGAGTGAGTTAGAGACACGAAGGGCGCCCGTGGCATCCTGTGGCCGCGATGCGCCGGATGCGCCGTCAACTGACGAAGTGGAGATGGGGTAGCCGCTGGATGTTGATGTTTTCATGTGTGTATATGTGTGTTCCTATTGTTTTCCTATGAGTCGGCAGTGGGCAGTGAGTCCTTTTGCAAGGCCTACAGGCTTGGAAGCCTTTGGGTGGCCCCCAGCCAAGCTGGGGATGTGGGGCACCTGGAAGTCTTCGTGTCATTGGAGTCTGAGCCCAAGCTTGTGCACAGTTGGTTTGAGAACATGTGGTCCTAATGCTTGGACTCAGGTATCCTTGACCTTGTAAGTTGCTATGAAAAGCTGTTAGCAATGTAAGCATGACATGAGTTGGAGTTGTCATGACAAAAGCCTTCAGTGTCGTGTAACAGGAGTTTCGCGGCCTAGATGGTTCAATAGCAGACCTGGCAAGAGGGTGCGAAAGTCCTTTACTTGCATACCTAAACCATCTTAATCCCACAAGTGTGGCTGGAAGATGTTCAAAGCACAGCCCGGATTTACAAAGTCCTGATTTGCCCCCGTCAACGCAATAACTCCTCAGTGAGCTCGCTGCGTCGCGCACAAAGATTGCCGACCATGCTGGAAAGATGCTCCAAAGCGACCATATTGACTCTCGCACTGCTGTCTACCTCAATGATTATGATACAGCGGAACTGCTTGGAGAGAGACCCTCAAGCCAGACCTACTTCATCTGCCTCCCCTCAGCCTCCACAAGAGCAGCAGGCCGACAGACCCAGGCCCCTTCAGAACTCTCCGGCCGTGGCCGAGGTGTCATGGACAAAGACCTGTCTCTTTACCATCTCTGCCTTCAACAACTATGGTTTCGTGAAGTCCTTCCTGGATCGGGCCGAAGCCCTCAATCCAGACATCGATTGCTTTATTTGGGTTGTGGCAGACAATCGCTATGTGTGGACGACGGGTGGAGATCCCACCCTGCCGGGCCAGATTCTGGATGACTTCCCCAAGAAGTGGCAACTGGTTTTGGTGGAGCAGCTCCAGCCCTACATGAATTTCAGTTTTATGGAGCTTGCCTTTCGCTATGACATGACCTGTTTCAATACAGCCATCAAACCTCCCGCCTTCAAGTATATCTTTGATCGCTACAATGCGAGCAAAGTATTGTACTTTGACAATGACATATGGATCATGCAACCCCTGACGCAGATTGTGAGCGCGTTGGAGAAGTACAGCCTTGTAATCACTCCACACATTACCGAAGAGATCCCCCTTGATGGTTTGCGTCAAGATGAGCGTCAGATCATGTTGGCCGGGCAATTCAACTTCGGTTTTGTAGCTGCAAGCCGCAGCAAAAGTGCCTTCAAGTTCTTTGACTGGTGGGGGCAACGCCTTCGCCTCTATGGATATGCCGAGCCCAGCAAAGGGATGCATTTTGACCAGAACTGGGCGGATTTGATTGTGTCCTACTACCCGCAGGAGGAGTATTTCATTCTGCGAGATCCACGCTACAACATTGCCTACTGGAATTTGCACTACCGGGGTGCCCACCTTTACATGGAGAACGGACGGGTGATGTATGACTCTGAGCCAGCGGTTTTTATGCATTTTTTCTGGCATGTCCAGCCTTCTTGACTATGACATTGAAACCATCTCGAGGCACCAGAACCGGTTCAAGATGGTGCAATTCCCAAACCTACGCCCTATCTTCGAGAAGTACCTTGAGATGTTGAAGGCTGAAGATGCTATGCGCTGGCGCCATGTGCCATATGGATTTGGCATGTTCAAGGACGGAACGCCCATTCCATACGTCGTTCGCACCTACTTTGCCGAGATCTTAGACCCCGTCAATGCTGGCCAGGAGGCTTCGCGCTTATTCCACGAAGTCGTGGCCTTTGAGGACCCCTTCAGTGTAGATGTCACTCCCAAGGTCTCTCTTCTATCTTGGATGTTGCAGGGCGTCCATCACTTGACGGTGGAGGCCAGTGCTCCGTACTGGGTCCCCGAGATCGCCTGGCAATTCCACCGAGCCAGGCCAGATCTGATGGCGGCCTTCCCCGATCCCTTGGACCGTCACTGGGAGAGCTACCAGGCCTGGTTTCGGGTCCACGGCGTGCTCACGACCCAGTTCGTGGAGGCCGAGCGCAAACGGAGAAAGAAGAAGTTCAAGGGCTTCTTGGCAATTGGATCGTACATGATCGTACTGTTGATGATCGTACCCGACGTCCCAAATTCAACCCCATAACACCCACGCAGGCCCTATCAATCCACCAGCTGCGGTGTTGTCAACAGTCCGGAATCCATGGCCCCAGCTATTTTTTACATGTCCTATATGTCCTCGACACTTCCTCCTGCCCTAAGATTTTCTGGGATGAGTTCGATAAGTTCACTTTCCAAGGTTTGCCTATGGGTGTGAACGTCTACTGCGCCCTCACCACCGACAGTGTCCTCGCCGACGTGGGCCATGCTGTCCTGGTGGCCATGGAGTCTGCAGATCTGCCTACAGCGGCAGTGCTGTTGCCAGGTCCTAGGGAGCGGAAGACGACAGTGAAAACCACACGTGCCTAGGGCTGAAGCACGAGTTGTGTTGTTTCGGGTGTGTGGATGATGTGTGTGTGGGTTTTCTGTTTGCGGAGAGGGGTAGTTTTGTTGGTTCATAGGGTGTTGTTGTCTTCTGTATGTAGTTGAATTATATAATATAGTTGAACATATATTTATATATACATATTTTTAGCGTGGCCCCCACACAGACATACATGCAGTGCTACAGAGGTGTAATGTACTGTAATTTAAAACTATAAATATATATATATATATTTGCATACGGATACATAATTAGGCACGCACACACTCACACACATAAACCTTACAAAAGAGTTTCACCCTCGTTTCCACTACAGGGAGCCTTGAGAAAGGAGAGGCAGGTGATCCTGACAGCATGAACAGCCAAAGGCGGCGCTTTTGGGAGTTATAATAGAAGACGTGGGAGGCGTTGGCTGTTCACAAAGGCATTGGAGTTGATTTCACAACATACACAGAGATAGCAGCACGCTGCCCTGTTCAAGTTTGACTTGAGAAGATAAGGTCAGGAATCAATCTCACCTCCAACTCCTTGACAACAATAACAATGTTTTTGTGCTTTGTGGGATCAGGTGATTCCCTTTTGATCGTCCACCATTCTCCTGTAGGACTTCCATGTTTGCACTTGGGATCAATTGAAACTCGCTTGACTTCTGCGTTTGTGCTTTAGTTTTGTTCCTGTTGCTTTGTTTACGGTAGCTTTGGTTGGTTTGGACTGGCAGCCTTTCGTGGGTGTGTGTTAGTTTATGTCAGGCATACTGCGTGCACATGTCTTCATTGGAGACCATATGCCACGTGTTGCTAAACGGGCGTGTGAATGTGTGAAGACAACTGACTTTGTTGGCGCCAAGCAAGGCATTCCGACATATGATGTCAACCTGTTTGTGGCCAGCGCCGGGGATACAGATGCCATCGTCAAGTCGTATCCAAGCAGGGAATGGAAGAAACACCGCAACATCGCATACTGGGCTGAGGAACTGGATGTTTTTCCCAGTGACTGGCTGCAACACATGAATCACTTCGATGAAATTTGGACGGCATCAGACTTCGTCACAATGTCCATCCGGAACTCACCAGCGAATGCTGGAACACCAGTCGTGACAATGCCCTTGGGCATAGATATAGATTTGTCGATATATGCCAAGGCTAGGGGGCGTTTCAAAATTCCAGAAGGCACTCTTGTGTTCCTGGTGATGTTCAACGGCGCTCATCAGCTTCGAAACCCCTTGGCGGTGCTAGCTGCCTTTCGGGCGTTTCAGGCTGATTCAGGCTCTTCCAACGTTCTTCTGGTGATGAAGTGTGTGCGGCCTGAAGGGGATGTAACGGAATTCCAGCAGCTGGAACGGGAGGTGAATCGAACAAACAATGCTTTGCTGATGACCGATGCCCTGAGCCGGCAAGAGCTATGCAGTTTGATGGCCTCAGTGGATGTCTTTGTGTCACTGCACACATCTGCTAGTTCTGGGCTGGCTTTATTGCAGATGCTGATGCTGGGAAAGCCGGTGATTGGAGCATCATCAAGTAGCACTTCTGACTTCATGTCCTTGATTCCCGAGGAGCTGCAGTTTCTGCAGATTCCACAAGACCTTGACCAAGTTGATGCCTCTCAGCCATCTAGCAAGGACATCCAGATGGTTGCTGAAGCAATGAGCAAACTTATGGCAGACAGGAGTCTCTTCGACAAAGCACGACGTGTGCTTGGGTCACTCTTTCGCAGGCAGTTTGATCACAAAAGCCTTGGGAAAAGGCTGAGTTCCCGCCTCGGAGATGTTAAGAGAAAATCATGAGCCTTTGGTAGCGACTCTTTGAGGAAGAGAACTGGTGACGTAAATCGCACAAATATGCATCACAATGCAGAATAGATTCGGTCACATGACAGGCCGCGGTCAAGTAAAAAAAGAGAGCTGATTCAAATATCAGACTTGCGCACGCGTGTTTCTTCATTGTTGAAGCGAAACACGCTCAACTCTTGCCTTGCCTTCCCTCACCTCATGTCTCCATTCCAGGCGGAAAAACGCCATCAGTCTATATAACATATATAACTCAATCTCTCACTTGCGATCCTGCCCTTTTTTGGGGGGAACGAGACTTGATCCTCCCAGGAATCCGGGTCAAGATCCCTGGCCCAACGAGACCCAGATTCAGCTGGTGAGCGGCCGTTCCTTTGGCGTCGAATCCCTGGAGGTGGACCCAGCAACCTGGGTGCAGTTCAGCCGTCTCGACTCGGTTCAAGATGGGGTAACATGAACTTGAATGTGAAGAGGAGCATGAAGAACTGTGAAGAGCAACACATTCGTGTGGTTTTTTTGTATGTGTCCTTTTGGGTGAAGCTGATGGTGGAAATATTACGGACAGAATGTATTTGGTTTTGTGGGGCACTCAGTGGCAGAGGAAATCGCACATTGTGCTGATAAATAATCTAATGGGGACTTGAGCCTCCTTGCGACAAACATTTTAAATCGGCGGCTGCTGTCGGACATCGAACCCGTTCTGGCGTGATAAGCGTGGACAATGAGGAAGGACAGGCTTTGGACACCATGCCATACACAATGAATGGAATCTTTAGTGGCTTGCATTTTGAGAAATCTTGAGGCCCTATCATGGGCATGTAAAGAGTTCTGAGTGGCCCGTCGACACCTGCAGCATATGCCAGTAGTTTTGCCCGCCGTGCCCATACACTCAGGTAAATCCTGGGCCCTTTCCTCAGGTAAAGAGCCTTCAAACCAAGCTCAGGAAGCCCCAGCCACGAAAGTGCAGAGATGGGAGGTGTGGGCATCAAACCTGCCAAGCCATGATGAGAGCTCGTGTTCAGATTGAATCAACAATTGCATTCTTTGATTTGACCCTGAAGCCTTTGAGGTCGCAGGTGGAAATTGTCATGCCCCTCGACATTCCCCTGGACCCAGCTTGGGCCTTGGCACGTCGTCACGTTGGTATGAATTTTAGCTTGTGGGAGGGTTCGAATGAGTTTCGCCACTCGTGGTGCTTAGGCTGCAGATGTTCGCAACGTCGTGGAAGAAAGTGCCCTTGGCTCAGTTCCAGGATGTTCCAGGCCTCCAGAATCTCTACAATCAAAGTGCGGAATGGGTTCCTCCAAGATGTGATTCTTGCCCCATCAAATTGCAATTGCTGGAACATCGGGTGCATCCTGAAATAGAATTGATTTACAATTGCGCTGCTGTGAGCGACTAGCTCTGAAGGCCTTCCACCTCAGTTGAGGTTTGGGCCCTCGCCGTGGCCGGGCACACCTTCGGCCCTTTGCTGGTCTTGGAGCTCCGTTACACTCACACAACCAAAGTGATTTAAAATTATAAATAGATAATTCAAATTATAATCATATCTTGGATATATTATCATAAATTACCGCAGATTATTCAACAAAATTATATACTATATATTTAATACTATTATCATTACTATTAATATATATATATATATGATTATTTTTTTGTCATTATGTATTATTATTTTATGTAATTCATATTTTAATGATATAACATAAATGAAATTTGTCTAAAGCCGTCGAAATAAAAAAATGATTTGTCGGTAGGTACTATATTGAATATTTATTGAATATAAATAAAGAAATTCTAAAATCGATATCTTTATAATATATATATATATTAGTATTCATATTGTTTAATTTATATTGATTAATATTTTTTTTCCCGAATGCGTAGCGAAGGGTTTCCGTTTATAGTTGGGGATCTGGGGGTTGGAGCTGTGTTTGCATGGGTTGTGTCGTCTCTCGTCGTCGTCGCGTCTTAAATTTGCTGTTATTGGGGGAAGCTTTTGCAAATGATTTTGCATGGACGTGTTACGTGTTAGTTTGCGCCGCTATTCTATTGTGACTTGCAGGACCAGAACATGTCGCGCGAGAAACGTGATGCGTTTCGCTGCACAGGCGCAGCGTTTTATGAGATCGGCAGATTGCTGCGCAGTTCCATTGGGATTAGCGTTTGGAGAGTCGTATTTTTGGGGTGTTGGATGTGGCCGTGCCATTGGGATTTGCGTTTTAGGGTGTGGTATCGAAGCTCGGTTTTCGTGACAAGTCTCAGCTGAAATGGCGATTTTGGTGGATGGGAGTGTGCTCAGAACGGGCCGAAATCATTCCAAACGTGTGGTGTGGTGCAAATTTTGTTGAAGCTCACATGAGATGATATTGTCACTTTTCGTGGCAGGCGCAGGACTTTGTGCGTGCTTTGAGGTGTGGAAGTGTGATTTTCGTGGCAGGCGCAGGGAATCGTGAGGTTTTGAGTTGTGGTAGAGGTGAATGTCGTTGTCCCATTGGGATTGGCGTGTGAGTGGATGTTGTTTGGAGGGGCTGGATTCGCGAAACGCCGCGAAACTGCTTGGCAGGGCTGCGTGATGGGTGTTTCCGCTTGACTTTTGGAGGAAGTTTCGTACGAAACGTTCGTTTTGCAGACTTTGACGTGTGAGTTTTTGATGAAGTCTCGTGCGAAACGCTCGTTTTGGAGACTTGACGCGCAACCCTCTTCGGAGATCGTGCGTGTCGAGTGTGCGAGATGCAGGCGAGAGTGCGATTTGTCCCATGCGCGCGCAACCCTCTGCGGAGATCGTGCGTGTCGAGTGCGCGAAATGCAGGCGAGAGTGCGATTTGTCCGGTGCCCACGCAAGCCTCTGCGGAGATCGTGCGTGTCGAGCGCGCGAAATGCAGGCGAGCACTGGCGACTTTGTAGTACAA